GGGGTGGCCGGGAGCGGCCGCTGCCCTCCAGTCTGGGCGGCAGAGTGAGACTCCAACTCAAAAAAAAAAATTGTGCTATACCTTATCACACTACATACAGCTCTTGTTTTGTTTTGTTTTGAGCTGGAATCTCACGCTGTCGCCCAGGCTGGAGTGCAGCGGCACACTCACGGCCACCCCCGCGTCGACCTGCTGGGCTTCGCGATTCTTCCGCCTCAGCCTTCCAAGTGGCTGGAACTACAGGTGCGCGCTACCACCCCCGGCTAGTTTTTTGTTGTTGTTGTTATTTATTGTAGAGATGAGGTCTCGCAAAGTTGCCCGGGCTGGTCTCAAACCCCGCGGGCTCCGGCGGTCCACTTGCCTCACTTCCCAAAGTGCTGGGATTACAGGCTGAGCCACCAAGCCTGGCCTTGTTTGTTTGTTTGTTTGTTTGGAGAGAGGGCCTTGTTCTATTGCCCAGGCTGGAGTGCAGTGGCACAATCATAGCTCACAGTGACCTCCAACTCCTAAACTCAAGTGTAGCCAGAAAACTGAACCTGCCTCAGCCTCCTGAGTAGCTGGGACTACAGGCACACACCAGTGTGGCTAATTTTAATATTTTTTGCAGCTATGGGGTCTGGCTATATTGCCCAGGCTGGTCTAGAACTTCTGGCCTCAACCAGCCTTCCTGCTGCAGCCTCCCAAAGTGCTGAGATTACAGGCATAAGCCGTGCTCTGGGCTAGTCCTTATTTTTTGGTGCATCTCCAGGCGAGTCATATTGCATTATTTTTATTTTTCTATTTTTTTTTGAGTTGTTGGAGTCTCGCTGTCGCCCAGACTGGAGTGCAGTGGCCGCTCCCGGCCACCGCAGCCTTGACCCGCTGGGCTCCGGTGATCCTTCCGCCTCAGCCTTCCGAGTAGCTGGAATTACAGGCGGGCACTACCACGCCCGGCTGATTTTTGATTTATTGTAGAGATGAGGTCTCGCTGCCCAGGCGGGTCTCGAACCCGCGGGCTCAGGCAATCCACTCACCTCAGCCTCCCAGACGTGGGATTACAGGCTGAGCCACCGAACCCGGCTATTATTTTTATTTTTATTTTTTATTTTTTATTTTATTTACTTATTTATTTATTTAGAGTTGGAGTCTCACTCTGTCACCCAAACTAGAGTGCAGTGGCCACTCCCGGCCACCGCAGCCTCGACCTGCTGGGCTCCGGCGATCCTTCCGCCTCAGCCTTCCAAGTAGCCGGAATTACAGGCATGCGCTACCACGCCCGGCTGATTTTTTTTGGATTTATTGTGGAGATGAGGTCTCGCTGCCCAGGCGGGTTTGGAACCCGCAGGCTCAGGCAATCCACTCACCTCAGCCTCCCAAAGGCGCGGGATTACAGGCTGAGCCACCGAGCCCGGATATAATTTTTATTTTTAAAAGGACTTCTGTCATACTCCTGATGCTTAAGTGCCCCATACTGTGCTGAGTACACTGCAGGCTTTATCATGTGGTAATTTCAGTACTATTAGTTATGCCCATTTTACAGGTAAGGAGGCAGGAGTTTGGAGACAGTAGTTAAATCACTTGGTGAAATTAACAGGCAGCCCCATGTGTGGATAGCTTCTGTTTCTTTACCCACTTCTGACGTGGATCAAGAACTGTTGGCATCAGACTCTCCAGGAAAGCTTACTTTATTTGAAAGACAGAGTCTAGCTCCTTTGCCCAGGCTGGAGTGCGGTGGTGCAATCACAGCTCACCACAGCCTTGACCGTCTGGGCTCAAGTGATCCCCTCCTGCCTCAGCCTCCCAAGTAGCTGGGACTACTGGCATGTATTACCATGACTGGCTCAGATCTTCCAATTTCTTTTTTTTTTTTGAGTCAGAGTCGCACTCTGTCACCCAGTCTGAAGTGCAGTGGCACACTTACAGCCGCCACAGCCTCGACCAGCTGGGTTCAGGCAATCCTTCCGCCTCAGCCTTCCGAGTAGCTGGAGACACTGGGGGTGCCACTATGCCTGGCTAAGTTTTGGGTTTATTATAGAGACGAGGTCTTACCATGTTACTCAGGCTGGTCTCGACTCCTGAACTCAGGCAATGCTCTCGCCTCTGCCTCCCAAAGTGCTGAGATTACAGGCTTGAGCCACAGTTCCCAGCAGATCTTCCAATTTCTAAAGAAAAACCTGAACTCTTCTTTTATGAGAAACATTCTTCCTTCTTCCTTTTTCTTCTTTAAGAAGGTCTCAGCTATATTTGGATCTTTCATATACGTTTTAAGTTCTAGAAAACTGTTTTATTAGATTACAATTGGAGTTGCGTTATATTTACATAAAGTTGCCATTTTATAATGCTGAGTCTATGACTTTATTTGATTTCTCATTTGTTTAGGTCTTATTTTACACATTTCAATAAAAGTTTTATAGTTTTCTTCATAAAGGTCTTGCATAATTTTGGGGATTTATTTCAAGGTACCATGTGGCTTGGCTGCTATTGTAAAGGAAATTATAATGGTAAATAAAGAAATTACATGTTGTTTGTTTATGGTGGTTAGCAGGAACAAGACTAAACTTTGTGTACTAACTCTACCCAAATGTAGCCAGAAAGCTGAGCTCTTAAACAATTCCCAGTGGTTTTTGGAATCTCTTCACTTTTTTATGTTGATGATCATATTATCTGTGACTAATGAAGATTTTGTCTCTTTTCAGATCTTACACTTTTTTCTTGCCTTATTGCGCTAACTAGGGCATCTCATATAATCAACATATTTTGAGCATTTTTGTTTTATCTTTGACTTTAAAGACATCTGTATTTTTTTTTTTTTTTTGAGTTGGAGTCTTACTGTTGTTGCCCAGGTTGGAGTGCAGTGGCATGCTCACGGCCACTGCAGCCTCGACCTGCTGGGTTCAGGTGATCTTTCCACCTCAGCCTTCCAAGTAGCTGGAACTACAGGCACATGCCACCACGCCTAGCTACTTTTTTTTATTTATTGTAGAGGCGAAGTCTCTCCAAGTTGTCCAGACTAGCCTTGAACCCTGGACTCAGGCAGTCCTTTCGCCTCGGCCTCCCAAAGTTCTGGGATTACAGGTGTGAGCCACTGCACCTGGCCTGTTTGTATTTTGAAAATATTTGACTTGTGGATCAGGTTCTGGGTCCTTTCAAATTTTACTAACCAAATTTTCTTCTATTGTAAGACTTTGTTGGTATGTGTATGGTCATCTTTTTGATCAATTTCATTTTTTTCAGGTCCAATTTTGCAGATATTATTGAACTACGAGTTATGGGGGCCAGGCAGGTATCCCTCAAGCAAAGTAGTCCAGTCCAAATGGCCACATAAATAAGGTGGCCTTTATTAATTTCTGGCAGATTATTGTCACAGAGGGATACAGACCCAGTGCTGCCAAG